TTCACCACTTGAGCCACAGCACCACTTCTGGTTTTCTGGTAGTTTATTGGAGGTAAGAGTCTCACGGACTTTCCTACATGGGCTGACTTTGAACTGTGATCCTCAGATCTCAGCCTCCTGAGTAGCTAGGAGGTGTAAGCCACTAGCACCTGGCTCCTCTTTTCAGTTTTTGGCTTCATAATTTGCCTTTCCAAGTTTATCATCCTAGAATTATATTTTATTTAACAAAACTTCCTTTGCTCACTTAAGTGCATCCAGATTTTTGTATTTCTTTTCCTTGTTGGTATATAATTCTAAGATTTTAATGCATGTCTGAGTTACCTTTGAATTCTGTCAGGTGACTATATCTTGTTTTCTTATTTGTAACAGTATAGGGTAAGAATACTTGCTTGATTCAAATAACAGTTGATTCATGCTTATTACCAACTCGTTCTGTTTTATATTGAAGCATCTTTTATTTTTTCCCCTGAAGTGATTTACTTCATGGTCTAGCTTATATAGTAGCACATTTTCTCAATAAGGACAAAATTAACTTTAAAGTATCATTCAATTTAGTATAGAATTAAGTTAAAATACCTGGGAAAAATGAATCCAAACACAGAACGGTTGAATATGCCCCAATAAGCAAGATTGGATTTTGTTCCGTTAGGAAGGATCATTAGTGACTTGAGGATGTGATGAGAAGGTTTTTTGCGATCCACATGAACTTAATCCTCTGTGATAGGGACAGCCATTTTCTTAAATTACATTAATTATAAGGCCTCTCATTTATATGACATCTTTCTTTCATAGGACTCAAAATACCTTTGAGTGTATTAGGTCATTAGTGCTTATAATGGTGCAGGAAGTTGATATGGGCAGCTAGTATTAGTTCTGTCTTACTGATGGATAGATGGAAATCCAGTTAGATAAGAAAACAGCCTGGGGTCACACGAAAACCAACACAAGAACTGGACAAGAGGCTAAAAATCACTATACTTCCCTACCTTCAATGTGACTCCACTGTTCCTACCTTCAATTGCAACGACTTTCTCCTTTTCAGAATCTCCCCATCTTGGGCAAGGCAGATAATCCTTACTCTCATCATCCTCACAGGAAAAAAAAAACAACAGGTGCATACTTCCTTTGAAAATCTTTGCATTTCATTATAGTAGATTAGATCAGCAATAAGTAAATGAAATAAAAATCTCTTTGAAACTAAAATGTCCCTACTTCTCCAGACCATCTATTAAAAAGTAAAAACCATATTCTAAATGTCTTCTAGGGACTGCTGTGGCAGTTACTGCACATGAAGAAGGAAATGAGGAGGAGGAGGAGAAGAAGGGGAGAGGAAGAGAGAGAGAGAGACAGAGAGAGAGAGACAGAGAGAGAGACAGACAGACAGATAGAGAATAGACAGAGAGACAGAGAGAGATACAGGGAGGGAGAGACAGAGAGAGAGAGAGACAGTGGAGAATCACAGATTTAGCACAGGGTCTCTCCTTGCCAGTTCTGTATTGTTACCTAGTTTCACAAATGAGGCATTTAACCTCAGAGAGCTTAAATATCTCTGCCTGTCTACTTTGTATAGATTTGTTATTGGAAGGCCGAGGGAGCAGGGTTTTGACTTCTTGGTGTGATATCCTTTCTCATCCTGGGTTAATTGTGCAAACCAACACCTGAAACATTATTTAACTCATTAAGATCTCTCTCCCTCTTCCTGTTCCTCTTCTGCCTCTCCTTTCTCTCTTCTTCTCCCTCTAGATAGTTACATCTAACTTGAGACTAGATACTTTGACAAAGGCATTAGAACATACACAGACACCTTAAAATGTATATCTCACATTGAATTAATATGTCCTTCAAATATGACTGTCCTAAATTCCCCTCTTATTTAAATGGCCATTAAATGAAATACTTAAGCCTTTTCTAGCTATGGCTACATTTTGGTCAGGTTTACGTCCTGAGTGTCTTCCAGGCCTCTGTTTCATCTAAAGAGAGACTGAAGTTCAGCTTTCCATTCACCTTTCCCTGCAATAATGATGACCAACACTTACTGCCTGGCCCTTTAGATACATGGACTTATTTGGTCCTTACAACACTGATGGATTGATGCCCTCATCACTGACAGTGCTGAGATTCTATTCATTGAACCTCCTCACAGACTGATGGTTTGTGGAGTGCATCTTAGAAACCATTAACCCATAGAATCAGGTCTGCTAGGGGGCATTAAGTGCTCTTTGTAGCTTGGTTCAACTTGTCCAACTCACTTCTCTTTTAGTCTTTTCCCTGTTCTTTTTGTTTGTTTATTTTATTTTATTTTTGTTGGTTGTAGGGCTTGAACTCTGGGCCTGGGCGCTGTCCCTCAGCTCTTCAGCTCAAGGCAAGCGCTCTGCCACTTGAGTCACAGCACCACTTCTGGTTTTCTAGTGGTTAATTGGAAATAAGAATCTCATGGACTGTCCTGCCCAGGCTGGCTGTGAATTGTGTTCCTTAGATCTCAGTCTCCTGAGTAGCTAGGATTACAGGTGTGAGCCACCAGTACCCAGCTTATTTTTTTTTGAATTTTAGAAAAATTGTTATTATAGAGGTGATGTCCAGAGGGGCTACAGTTATATAAGTCAGGGGAAGAGTACTTTTTTTTGGACACTGTCAGCCCTTCCCTCGATCTCTCCTAGTTTTTCCCTCCTGTTCCCACCCACAAGTTGTATAGTTCAATTTCTACTTAGTGTTGAGTGAGTACCACTGTTGCCTTTGTTCACCCTTTATCCCTCCATTTCCCCTGCTCTTTAGGCTGGTTTGTATCTCATCATTTTCTCTTCTTGCTTCATCTTCTTGACCACAATATTTTTTGGTCTAAATTTGTTTTCACCACTAAACCTTTGCACTTCGTTTTTCTTAGTCTATTTGTTTTTGCTCAAGTGCTTCATCATTGATAACATCGGACATGAACTATTTCTGTGTATTCTAATTGATCATCAAACTTTTACTGAATGCTAGCTTTGTCAGGGCCTAGCCTTGCTGTATGATCTACCAAGTTCTGACGTGTCTGACATATTGAAATTGCTCAAAACGTGTGTATTGAGTGAATAGATTCACTATAAAGAATGGAGTTAGTATCTTTCTTGTCCCTTTTCATTATTAAGGTTGCCAGCACTATAGTTTGTGCATAGTAAGCACCCCATAAACTGTCAATTTTGGTACTATTCTCTGTCTGACATTCTTATTTCCTTTCTGTTTGAGAATTCTTTTCATTCTAAAAAAGCCAATTGAAAAGGTAACCTGTGGGCTGGAACTGGTGATCTTCCCAGTTGATCCCTTTCCCTTTTTCATGTCTGTCTTCCATTTCACATACATTACTTTTTGGACTTGCGTACTTCTCTTTTGGTTAAGTCACTAGTGCAGGAGTGGAGCTCACTGGACTTTGATAAAAGTGAACTATATAACTGGTGGGTGGAGATGGGAGGGAGGGACTAGAGGAGAATGAGGGGACAGAAGACACTACACCAAAGGAAATGTACGCATTACCTGACTCGTGTAATTGTAACCCCTCTGTACATTGGCTTTACAATAACAATAAAGTACATTAATTAAAAAAATAATAACAAGTGCTCAGTTTTCCTCAATTTCTCACTGGACATTCCTGAATGAACTGTGTTGCTACACTGAGCTTCAGAAAGGTCTTTTTATAACAAGAGACAGTAATCTCAGAGATAGGAGGATGAAGTTTTAAGAACATCCATGGAAGACTTTGTATAAAAATTAGAGATTGTCATATATTGTTAACATCCTGCCCGATCATTCCTTACAGAGGAAACAGACCAATACATTTCCAGACCCTGCTGTAGGTACTTGGAGGAGAACAGACCTTCTCCTATGTTTGCGTTTAGCCTTGAATTTGCTGATACTGCATAGATGATTTCCATTTTAATGCTCCCACTTCCCCCAGCCCTGCCTGCATATCATTTCTAGGAATCTTGATTCCAGCTGTCCCCTGGGTTTTTGAATGACATTTCCCTGGCCCTTCGAGCCACATGGAGACTCAGTTCTGCTTCCAGTCTGTCACTTGACTCACTAATCCTTGATTTCCCCCTCCCCACCTTTGACTGATAAATTTTCATTATTGGTGTTGCACGAACATCTTCAGGGTTCCCCTCGGCCTGACCCCTGTGGTCACTTAGCGATTGCATGCGCCAGCTGAGGTAATTTATTCACTTTGTTTTGGTGTGAACATGTCCCATGGGGCTTGTAACTGTTGTAATCACTTGACCCTGGTGACTGTTAAATGCTTTAAACACAGTTATTTTAAATTTATAATTGTTTTCATTAAAAATCCTTTATAGTAACTTAACTGACCTTGCTGTCAACGTGGCATTATGTGCAGGGGAAGAAATGAAAATATTATGATGCAAATAATACAGTGTTCATCAGAGATGCATGGTAAATCATTAGCTCTTCCTACACATTCTCACTTGGAGTTCTGTGAGGAAGATGAAAGGGAAGAGGACAGACATACCCAGAGCATCCTACCCCTAATTCAATATAGCCATTCCTGCTTGCACACCAAGCAAATCTCGGCCAGAGTGAAGAGTGGAGAGGAACCAAGGATAGGGGTCTGATGTCAGACATGTTACATATCTAACTGTGCTTTTTGTGCCATTGTCTGGCCCCAACTGATTAGGTGTGTGTGTGTGTGTGTGTGTGTGTGTGTGTGTGTGTGTGTGTGTATGTGTGTGTGTGTGTGTGTGTGTGTGTGTGTGTGTGTGTGTGTGTGTGTGCATTATCACTTGAGCCATTCTCCAGCCCTTTTGTTTTAATTTTGTTTCTGAGACAAAATCTTACCACTACCTTTGTGGGGATGGCCTGGAACTCCAGATCCTCCTACTGCTATTGCCTCCTCCCCACCCAGTACTGGGTTTATAACAGGCATGCTTAAGTAATGTGTTTAGATAATGCTTCTATAGCCCTTTTATAATTGCTGTTTTTAAGTAGTTGCACAAAGTTAAACAAAGCAGTTTATGAAAAGTAAGGAAGGATTCATGACTTTGTGAATCATCCTTGCACATGGGTCATGCCAGTTTTCTTTGTATCATTCTAGTTTTAGTACATGTGCTGCCGAAGTGAGCACGCGATACTCCTTATACTTCTTATTTTGGAATACTTTCACGTATCAGAAAAGTTGCAAGAATAATACATTGTACTTCCTTAAATCCTTCAGCCAGATTCCCTAATTGTTTTTCATTTTCGTTTCTCTTCTCTTTTCTTTCCTTTTTTGTTTTTTCTTCCTTCCTTCCTTCCTCCATCCTTCCTTCCTTCCTTCCTTTCTTTTTCCTTCTTTCTTTCCTCCTTTTTTCCCTCTCTCCCATGCTTCTTCCCTCCCTCCCTTCCTTCCTTTTTGTTCTAATTCTGAGACTTGAACTCAGTGTCTCACATTTGCTTAATTGGCTTTTTTGCTCAAGGATGGCACTCTTGAACCACATATGTACTTTCAACTTTTTGCTGGTAAATTGTTGATAAAAGTAGTTCATATTTGTCTATTTGGTTTGGCTTGGAATTTTAATTCTCAAATGTGAGCCTCCTGAGTAGCTAGGGTTACAGACCCGAATCACCAGGGGTAGGCTAGATTCCCCAATTGTTAATGCTTTATATTTGCTTTATCATATTCTCTCTTTCTCTCCCTCAATCTCTCTCTTTCTCTCTCTCTCTTCTTCTCTCTCTCTGTCTCCCTTGCTCCTTCCCTCTCTTTTTCCCTCCTTTCTTTTGCCTGTCTTCCTGTCCTTCTCTGCATCCCTTTTCTGAAGCATTTGGAAGCATGTTATAGACATCATGTCCATTTACTCTAAATAGTTCAGTGTATCTTTCCTAGGAATCTAGATATTCATTAACAGCAATGATCAAAATTAAGAAATCAAGGTTAAGTTGATAAGATTCTATCGCCTATAAACGCTTCTCAAACTTTGCTAATAACATTCTTTTTTTTTTGTTTTAAACTGTTTCATAAATATTTTTTCAAGGTGATACACAGAGGGGTTACAGTTACATGAATAAGGTAGTGATTACATTTCTTGTCTAATTTGTTATCCCCTCCTTCATTTTTCTCCCTTTTTCCCTCCCTCAACCCTCCAAAGTTAGCTAATGACATTCTTTGTAGTACATATTTTTTTTTTTAATTCAAGGATCTAGTCTTAAATCATGCATTGCTTCCAAAAATCCAATGAAGTACAACTAAATCAAAACACTGTTTCTTACTTCCTTTCCTATGTTAAGGAGGGAGGTGTCATCACAGACACCTAGTCCTATGAAATTTGAATTTTTACTTAGGTTTCTAAATCATAGGTATGAGAATTTCTGAATACTAAGTGATAAGACTGTATTAGGTAGTTATTAAGGGAGATATTTTATTATCTCCCTTAATCCTTCCTGTAAGTTCACAAGGAAGTTATTCTTGATCAACAGCTAGAGATGATACAGTTTAGAATGGAGGCCAGGCTCTGGATCATGCAGCTCTGAGAGGCACTGTAGAAGATCATGGCGTCCTGGGCTGGGCTAGAGAGGCAGTGGAATGGAGCCAAGTTGTATGTGACTTGTTGCTAGTACTTACATTGTTCTGGAAAATATTTGAATATATAGTTACATTAAGGACTTAACCAATATATTTTTTGGCTCTAAAAGGAACTAACTACCTGGCATCCTAATGAATTACAGATATTACTGATTTAAGTAAAATGCCAAATAAAATAGCTTTGATGGACGGCTTCTAGACAGCTGGCTAATAGTGACATGCAAAGGCTTTTGCTAACAGGTTTGGTGGTCCTAGAAACTTCAACATTCGCATACCATGTGTGCCGCTGGCCTGGCCTAGTCCTTATGGAAACTTGAAAGTACCTTCCAGAGTTGTGAATTGATAGGGACATTTGGAGTTTGGCCCAAATAGGGAGATTCCATTCAAAATGTCCAATTATATCACCTCATGGTATCCATAGGGTTTTTTCCCTCCTCTTGTCTTTTCTTCTGTTTTATTACATGAGGAAAGGGCTAGGGGGTAATTTTTCATTTTTACTTAAAATATTGTAGAATTTATGTAGACTGTTATTCCTGGCAAGGACTACTGCTTTTCCATCAGATGCTTTTGTACGGTATAAAGAAGTGTTCCCTGGGCCCTGTGGATGCATGCTTGCTGAATTCCAGGCAGCTCCACTCAACTCCAAAGCAGTTACACTTGTATCGTCAGAAGCCTTAGCAACCAGACACAACAGCCTTCAAGTTTCTCTTTTGAACTTTTTTCCAAATGAGCATTTTTTGTTTGCTTTTTCTTTCCTACTTTTTGTTGCCTATGTTTGCTAATATTCTTGCACCAGCATTTTTGTCACTTTATCACCTTTTGATATGGTTTTATATGTCATTTTTATGTATAGTATTTTGAAATAAGGACTAGTCTGGGGCATTTGATTTTAGCATTTGCAATAGCCTATAAAATATACATAATTATAAAAATTATATAGTGCATTCTTCAAGATGTTTCTATTTGGAGATGAGAGTTTATTTGTTTGTTTGTTTCAAATAACATCCCAGAAATGAATTATTTGGTAAAAAAAGTCTTTCAATTTTGGTTATGTTTCTTGTATTTGTTAGCTTTTACCATACCCGGAATTCATTTTTTAACTACGTATAGTACATCTAAAATGAATAATTAATTCAGCAGCTAACTATAACATGGATTATTGATCAACCAGTTTTAGATGTTAGTCTGGTAAATTTTGTATGCATTATGAAATGGAAGCCCTCCCAGTTTTCTTTTTTTATTATTATTAACTCAGCTCAGATTTCAGAAGCAGAGAAAAATAGCACAGTTTTTCTTGTAACACCAGGATGAAGATGTACAGTGCAATTGTGCTGTGTTGCTTCTCCTTGTCACTACATGCTCCACTTCCCCTCCGCTTTTGTGGTTTTCTCCTTTGGAAATAGGATGGCAAGTGAGCTCTTGGTATTTTGAGGAAGCTGGCATTGGCTGGGAGGACAGACAGCTCACTGTAAAACATTCAGCCTCTGAGCTTTGATTCCTCTGTAAAATGTGAAGGACAAAATTGTTTTAGCATCATTTTATTTAGTCATATGCACATAGCTATTGAGCTATTGTGATTCTCTTCTAAGGATATCCTAGACATATTCTAGTTATTACAGATGAGGGAAATAGCTCAATAGCTATGTGCATATGACTATATAAAATGATGCTCATCAAAATGAAGTCCAAGAAATGGAAACAAGAGGGTTTTTTGTTATTTGTGTTTTTAGTGTACTGTTTTTCTTTCTTTTCTTTTTTCTTTTGGTTTATTCCTTGTTCTCACTGTTTTTTTTTTATTTCTGTACCCTTTGTCTTGTATGTAAGTTTATTTGATTTGGGGAAGAAGAGGGGAATCACGGGAACAGTGGGACCAAGGGTGAACCAATGCAACAGTGATACTCACTAGATACTATATTGGAAATGAACTTTGCAACTTGGGCGTCAAAGGAGTCAAGGAGAAAATGAGGGAGGGGATAACAGTGTTCAAAAAGAAATCTACTCATTACTTACAGTTACTTTACAATCACCTTTACAATAAAAATTTTAAAAAAGACATTCTAAAACCAAATTGTCTTAGTTTTTACTTTCTGACTCTAAATCAATCCTATGACTCAGATGTTTGAGATCCCATGCTCACCAAGCACTTCAAGCTGATTTGCTTTGTTATTTGACTTTGGCATTGATAGTCAACCCAAAGCATATAATAATGGTTTGAGTGATGGCAATGATGGTGGTAATGATTCTTAGTGGTACAAAAAGTCCTAGAGTTTCTATTAGGAGCGGAATACTTAGCTGTAATTTATGAGTTTGTTGGGGACTTAGGAAACCGAGTTTATATTTTAGTACTTTCATTGTGCTTTTGATGGATCCATTCTTTATAGAAAATCTGGATTTAGAGAGCAAAGTAACCACAGAGCCTAAAAGTGATTTTCATATCATCTCAGAAGTGAATCTTAAAGTTGTCCATTTGCCATCATGAAGATGAATTGTCATTGTTTTTCCATAAAAATAGGCAAAAAGCAAAAGGCATGTGAGAGCTTTGCTTGTGCAGGTTTTGAGGGGTAGTAGACAGGCATTTGCAACTATGTGTAGCAGAAGCTCTAATTATGCTCTCTTCTTCAGTGTGATGGGGCTTGAAATGTGTTTAGTTACTCCATGATAACCTTATATTTGAATAACCATATATCTCTAAGCCCACAGATGTGTTTGTGCGCTGTGGCCAGTTTTCTTTATACATATATTTTATGTAAACACACTGTACAGAGGGGTTGTAGTTACGTGAGCAAGGTAATGAGTACATTTCCTATCGAGCATTGTTGCTCCCTCCTTTGCCCCTACCGTCCCTTTCCTCTCCACCTCCCCAACTTCTCCCTCCCTGCCGAAAGTTGTAAAGTTCATTTTCAACTTAGTGTCTTGTACATGTCGTTGTTACAATGGGTCATCCTGTATCCTTATTTCAGCATTTTGTTATTTCCTTTCCCCTTCCCATATTAGAAAAATGTATATACAGGATGCAGGATACTGGAATCAAATACAGTGACAGCAGGGGTTATGCCATGGGGGAAGAACATACAAAGAAACGAAAAAGATCTCATAGTACATTAAAAAGAACAACAAGAAAGATAAAATCTCTTGTGTCCCTATCTTGGGGTTCACTTTGTTTAGCATCAGCTTATATGGGCATCTGTACATAGCTTTTGACCTCTTCTGCTTGTCCTAGACATATACTAGCTATTACAAATAAGGGAAACCATGGGACTTATGTTTCTTTGGATCTAGCTTATTTCACTTAATGTAATTTTTTCCAAGTCTTTTCATTTCCTAACAAATGAGGCAGAGGCAGAGTCATTCTTTCTGATGGAGGCATAGAATTCCATTATATATCCATATCTATATCTATCTATCTATCTATCTATCTATCTGTCTGTCTGTCTGTCTGTCTGTCTGTCTGTCTATCTATACATGTACACACACATCACGTTTCCTTGATCAATTCAACTACTGAGGGGGATCTGGGTTGGTGCCATATCTTAGCTATGATGAATAATGCTGCGATAAACATGGTT